AAAAATAATTCTAACTCAGAAAACCAAAGATTTATTTATTTTTAACTTATTTAATTAACAATAGAAAAAATTGATATGGTGACGGGCAGAGATTCGTTCTGCACTGCTGTCGATAGATCAATCCGTCGTTCGAAGTCCTGTCTTCGCTATTTATAATTAAAGGGTATCTTGCATCAGCATTATTGAACAATGAAGGCTGGATACATAACTCCTCCCTGCGAAGAAGAAACTCTAGGGTGGACTAACTTGAGTTTCGTTAATCATCCTTGGATGGGGAACGGGCTTCGGTTGAAGTTTTCTTTTTCTAAAAATGAAATAAGAAGTTGCAAAAATAATTAGAATGAAGAAGATGCTCCAAAGTGTCCAATTCACTGCATGGGAATGAATGTAGAAGTTTTCCATTGGGTTTTCTTCTTCTAATTGAATTAAATGCATTTTATCCAAGGGTACTTTTTCAATATTTAATTTCTTGATTGGAATAACATTTATATTTGTCAATGTCTGTATTCCAGAAATCAATACAGGGTGTGTACTAATAATTCCTTGTTTATTAGTATAAGTCGCTTGTGACATTATAAATTCACAATTTTTCGGTAATGTGAATAAATATGTTCCTTTCAGGGCCATTACTTGTTTTTCTTCACATATAGTAGTTATTTTTTCTTCTTTTGGAAATACTGCAATATAATGCATTTGATCTACTTCTTCTATGATGTTATTCTTCATATTGATAGATATTTGATTACAAGTTTGTGTATTCTTCGTAGTGGATAGCATTGACGTAACGCAATCTTCACTTTGAGGTAGTGGTAGGAGATGACTTCTTTGGCAAAAATACTTTGTACTGGTCTTCATACATTCTTCAGTGTCGTATTGATACTCATGTTTTCCCAGGATAAGGTAATTTGAAGGTGGGATAATTATTGTTTGATTAACATTAGGAATAGAATATAAATGATAATATTCTAAAGGATGTGGATGTATCAATGGAAAATTTAGCGAAAATATTATTTTATTTTCGTAAAAGAATGTATTTGTTTCTACCACTTTATAATAATCTAAGAAATCTTTATTTTTAAAAGGTAATTGTTCTTCATTATAAATATTTGACATATTATATAAAAGTTCTTTTAATTCTTCATGAGTTATTAAACTCGAATGCATAATCTTTAAATTAGAAAAACTTATAGAAGTTTCTAAATTTGTAAGAAAGTTCATTAAGATGTCAAGGTTATTCTTTATTTGTCCAGATATACTATTTATTTCCAATGTATGATAAAAATGAAATAGAGTACCGTTTAAAGTATTTCTTATTTCTTCGACTTTATATTTAATTGCGTTTTGGTTATCAATTAAAACTGTCATTGTTTTATTCATATTACGCATAGATATTTTAGAAAGAGACAAATGATTATTAAATTTATTGATAATCTTATTTTCATTATTTTCTAACTCTTTTAAGTGATTATGTATTTCTTCGGCATCCTGTTGATCAAGATTTCCTGAAATAAATTTTACTAACGAGCCTAGAGGATTTATTAAACCTCGTTTAGTTCTTAGATTTGGCATTAATGAACGAATTTTATAATTTACTAACTTTAGCTCATAATTTAAACTGTTACAAGTATTTAGAAGTGTGATACGATTTATGTCGTCTGAAAATTGATCAATTAATAATTTTAAATCGTCATAGTGTTTATTCGTTTCAAGAACTTGCTTATTAATTTCATTCATATCAATATAGTGTAGAAATGTATGTGTTGCAGTTTTTAAACTGACCTCTCCTAACTTAAAAGGAAGTATGCCAGGATTTGAGTCAAGGTTCTGTACTTGTATTTGCTGTGCCATCAAGATTCGTGAGAGAATCGTCAATCTGTAACAATGATTTATCAGTTAATTTTCTTGGTTTTTTAAAACATTGTTTATGATATTTATTTTTAGCTGTAGTAGTGACTGTCAAATCATTGCTTTGTAAAATATGTTCAGGTTTATACAGGGGATTTGTTTTAGATTGTCTTTCAGATTGTTTACGATATCCTATAGTACCAGGTTCGATATCTACAGGGTGGTCACGTTTCTCATTTCTTTTATCGATAATTTTTTTCTTTTCAGTTGATATTTTTTCAGCTATATTCTTATATAAATCATTCATTACTTCTTTATGCGTTTCTAATTGTTCATTAACAGTTCTCACGTCATTATTAATATCGATTGGTTCTCGAAGTTCTAAATGTCCTAATAATAAATCAACAGGTTTTTTATTTGTTGAAGAATGAATAGAATTGTTATAACCGATAATAGAATAATGTAATTTTTCGAAGGGGTTTAATCTTGGATTAGTTAACTTTAAAGTTCTCATATGTTCTAAAAGTGTTAAATGAAATCTTTCGACAATTGCATTAGAGTTCGGGTTTTGTGCCAAACAGTAATGCCAATTGATTTTATAAACTTTAGCAAAATCTTTAAGAATACTTTGAGAAAATTCAATACCATTATCAGAGATTATATTCTCTGGGATTTTATAAGTTGAAATAAATTGTAAAAGAGATTGATATACATGTAGAGCTGATAAAGAAGGAATGACATAAGCTTGTCCGAATTTCGAGAAGCTGTCACAAATTGTCAAAGCAATTGTGTTATCAAATTTAAATGTGTCAATGTGTATAGTTTCAAATGGTTTTTTAGGTGTTGGTGTTAATTGTAATTTAATTAGGGGTGGATGTCGTTCATATTTTACTTGTTGACAAATAGTACAATTATTAACAAAATTTCTGACGTCATCGCTTAATTTCGGCCAGTAATATTTAATCCGTAATTCGTCGATAGTTTCTTTTATCCCACGATGGTTTGTTATGCCTTCGTGTTGTAATTTTATCAAACTTTGTTGTGAATTTTCACGAGTGATATCTTGTAAAATTTTATTTGTTTTTAAAAGTCTAAAACTAGAATTTTTAAATATCTGAGGAAGAACTCTACACATTTCTTTATAAAAGTTTTGATCATCATTATCGTTTTCAAAGTAAAAGACATACTGTCTTTTTGGTTCGGCATATTCTTTAAGAAAACTTATTAATTGTTGTGTAAAGGTTTCTTTTAGAAAATATATACGCCATCGAGTTCTATTGATAGGTGGACCAAATATTTTCTTTATTTCAATTCTTGGGTTTACATCAACTTCAGTTAAAATTACTTGACATAGAAAATAATTTAAAGGTTTCTCAGAAATATTTATTGTCAAAATAGGGTCTTCCGCGCTAGTGTGAACTGTGTCTAAATCAGAACGTTCTTCAGGGTCGACTTGTCCTACGATAGATTCATTGTCTGCTTGTCTACTCGTTGATGGTTGTGGATCTTCATATAGTGAAGGGTTTTCGTTGAACCTTTCCATATCTCTTAGTATAGGAGGTGTTGCTACATTTGTTTCTGTTGGATATATTTCAATACGAGATAGAGCATCTGCATTTACATTTAATTTACCTTTCTTGTAAATTACTTCATAATCGAATTCTTCCAGTTTGAGACGCCATCTTACTAATCTAGAATGAGGTTCTTTTAATGACATTAGCCATTGTAAAGGCTTATGATCAGTAACTATTTTGAACTTTCTACCGTATAGATAGGGTCTAAAGTATTTTGTAGCCCATACTATAGCTAGTAGCTCTTTTTCAATTGTCGAGTAGTTCTGTTCAGAGCTGTTCAACGTCCTTGATGCATAGGCAATAGGTTTATCACTTCCGATTCTTCCTTGCGATAATATTGCTCCTATAGCTATATTGCTAGCATCCGTTGTAAGAATAAATTCTTGATTAAAATCTGGATATTGCAATAATGGTTCATTGCTTAATAATTTTTTACAATCTTCAAAGGTCTTGATGTAAATTGGGTCTTTTATATTTATATTAGCTCCTTTTTTAAGACACTGTGTAAATGGTTTAGTTAAATTTGCAAAATTCTGAATGAATTTTCTGTAATATCCTAAAAGTCCGAGAAATGATTTTATTTGTTTTACAGTTTTTGGAATAGGAAAATTCTCAATTGTTTTTATTTTGTCTGGATTTGGCTTTATTCCGTTAGGGGTAATAATGTGTCCTAAAAATTTTACTTCTTTGTGTAAAAATTCTGATTTGTCTAACTGAATTTTCAGGTTGCTCTCTCGTAATCTATCAAATACTTTTTTCAAATTTACGAGGTGTTCTTGTAAAGAAGTCGAAAATACTATTATATCGTCCATGTATACGAGACATGTTTTGTTGACCATTCCTCTTAAAACGTTGTCCATCACACGCTGGAACGTGGCTGGGGCATTTTTTAGGCCAAAGGGCATACGTAAATATTCGTAGTGCCCATTTTCAACACTAAAAGCTGTTTTCTTGATATCATCTGGGTGCATTTCTATTTGGTAAAATCCACTTGCAAGATCTAGTGTCGAAAAATATTGACAGCGACCAAGTTTATCTAGAATATCTGATACGTTCGGAATAGGGTATCTGTCGTCGATTGTTTTTTCGTTTAATTTTCGAAAATCGATAACTAGACGCCATTTTTTCCTATTCGAAGCATCTGCTTTCTTCGGAACGATCCATATCGGGGACGACCATGGTGAATCGCTTGGTCTAATTATATTCTGATTCAACATATCTTCGATTTGTCGTTGGACTTCTTCTTTGTGTATAAATGGATAGCGATACGATTTTGTGTATATAGGAATTTCGTCTTTCATCTTAATTTGGTGTTTTATAGTATTAGTAAATGTTAAGGGTATATTTGGTTTATGAAAAATATCTGAATATGAATAACATAATTTTAAAAGTTTGCTTTGTTCCTCTCTATTCATATGATCAGTTCTAATAAGTGAACTTATATCAGTATGACCATCTGAATAAGGACTATTAATAGAAAAATTATATAATTCGAAATTATTTAAATCTAAGCTATTAACTTTTATTGGACTATATAAGCATATTTCTTGAATATCGTCGGTGTTGTTATGAATTTCTACTGGTGCATAATTATTTTTAGAAACTGTTATACAGGCTGGGATAAAACAATTATAAATATTTGTATTTTCTAAACTTATTTGACCATTAGAAATTGAAACAGGAATATTTAATTGTTCGATAGATTTTGATTCAATTCGAGCGAAAAATAAAAGTTTATTTTTTGCTTCGTAGTGAGATAAAGGAATTTCACTAAAAGGTGTTTTTAATTTATAGTTATTCAAATCTAATTGAACTTTTAAATCTTTTAATGTTTCGTAACCTATTAAGCCGTCAAAAAAGTGATGAAATTTAAAAAGATAGAATTTCATTTTTTGTTTTGATCTAAATTCATCAAAAGCTGGAATTTCTATACAGTGATTCCTAGTTGTTGTTTGGAAAATTGATGATATAGTAAATGGTTCCTTTTTTATTGAATTATAAAAGTATTTTTCAGCCTTTTCTGGATTTATAAAAGATTTAGTTGCACCGGTATCAATTAATAATTTTAAAGGAGGATTTTTAATTTGAATATATGGTAAATCTTTTTTATCGTATATCGAGTGAATTTCTACGTGTTCTGGTTTTTTTCGTTGATGTCGGGAAAATTTTGTTCATTGTATGATGATGTATGTGGTTGGTTTGTGTCATCATATGTTTGAGTTTCATTTATAGTGTGTGTATCAGCATATTCCGACTCTGAGTAGTACTGTTGTTCGGGATAGGAATATTGATAACCTTCGAACTCATTGTTTGAAATATAAGGCTCATTGTTATTTTGTTCTACGTTGTGCAATTCCTCGAAAACAAAATGAGGTGGATTAAAATATCTTTGTTGATTTACGGGGGGTTTTGGAAAAGTTCCGTGAGATATTCCGCTCATCGGTGTAGGTTTTGGAAATTGATTTTGAGGGATATTTCTAGGTTTAAAGACATTGGTATTTTTATTAGTCCCAAAAACTTGTTTGTTTGTGAAAAATTTGGGCGGTGGTAACTGCCTCGGTCTTATATCAATAGGTTGAGAAGGAAAGACAGGTTTGGTTTGTCTTGAGAAATTACTTGGAAAGTTCTGTCTAAAAGGTTGATTAAATTGATTAAATTGTTGATTTTGGAAGGGTTGGTTTGGAAAATATTGTGTGAATGTTGGAACATTAAATTTTGGTGTGACTTGTGGTATGTGTGGTTTTTGTAAATGTCTTATGTTATTTTCCGAAATTATGAATTGTCGTGCTGAAGCCAAACATTCTGGTCTCATAGCCCTAATGCTAGATCCTAATGGTTCTTTTAAACCTGCTAAAAATATTTTCAATGCATGGGTGTTGTAAAATTGTTTTTTTAATTGTTTTGTTGCTTCAATAGTTTCGTGTGTGTCGATATAATTATGTAAAGCACTTAAATTAGACATGACACGAGTGTGGAATTGTAGTGGTGTTTCATGATTTGTTTGTCTTAATTGGTCTAAATCAAAAAGCAAGCCATTTTCATCACGTTGGTCTCCAAAATGAGCAATTAAAGAAGTTTTAATGCTTTGCCAATCTTTATTTATAGAAATACTATAAACCTCTCTAGCCTTGCCAATTAATTTTGAATATATGCCATAAATAATAGTCACATTTTGAACACAATTTACATGATCTGGTCTAGTATCCCAAAAATTTGAAATTAAAGTATTAGCTGTCTCTAAGTAAGATGATAGTTCTAATGGATTACCATCGAATTTAGGTACAATTTCTAAAATTTTTGCATCAAAATGCGGTGGTGCTGACATGTTTAAGC